CAGAGTGCCCCTTACATCACTGTCCCCATCAGAGCCCCCTTACGATCAACTGTCCCCCCCTCAAAGTTGCCCCCTTACATCAACCTGTCCCATCAGAGCCCCCCTTACATCAACTGTCCCCATCAGAGTGCCCCTTACATCAACTGTCCTATCAGAGTGCCCCCTTACATCAACTGTCCCATCAGAGTGCCCCCTTACATCATCACTGTCCCCATCAGAGTGCCCCCTTACATCCACTGTCCCCATCAGAGTGCCCCCCGCCCTTACATCACTGTCCCCATCAGAGTGCCCCCTTACATCAACTGTCCCCATCAGAGTGCCCCCCTTACATCAACTGTCCCCATCAGAGTGCCCCCTTACATCCACTGTCCCCATCAGAGTGCCCCCTTACATAAACTGCCCCATCAGAGTGCCCCTTACATCAACTGTCTCCATCAGAGTGCCCCCTTACATCAACTGTCAGAGTGCCCCCATCAGAGTGCCCCCTTACATCACCTGTCCCCATCACAGATTGTAGGTGGGGTGTCCAGTGAGTGGCTCCGCAATGCCATAACACGTTGCCAAGGGTGAGCGCGCTGAAAAGATTGTACAATCAGATTGTGAGGTGTGTGGCCAGATTGGACGTCCGTAGCTTCAATGGACCTTCTATGGGGGGGGGGGGGGGGGGGCTTTTCCCAGCTCAGAAAAAGGAACCCGAAGAATCCCCGCCGAGTATAAATAGCCGAGCCGAGGTTTAGTGTTTAGTCGTCTGTTCTTCCCAATAAGGAGCCGAGATCTCCCTGATCAGCCGACATGTCACCCAGCTTTGTCACTAAGCTCCGCCCCCCTATTGTCATCCCACTGCCGCCTGTCCCGGGGTCTCCAAACTCATTTCCGAGCTCCTCACCGAACTCCTCTCTGAGCTCCTCACCGAAATCCTCACCGAACTCCTCTCTGAGCTCCTCACCAAACTCCTCACCGAACTCCTCTCTGAACTCCTCACCGAACTCCTCTCTGAGCTCCTCACCGAACTCCTCACCGAACTCCTCTCTGAACTCCTCACCCGAACTCCTCTCTGAGCTCCTCACCGAACTCCTCACCGAACTCCTCTCTGAGCTCCTCACCGAACTCCTCACCGAACTCCTCTCTGAAGCTCCTCACCGAACTCCTCTCTGAGCTCCTCACCGAACTCCTCACCGAACTCCTCTCTGAACTCCTCACCGAACTCCTCTCTGAGCTCCTCACCGAACTCCTCACCGAACTCCTCTCTGAGCTCCTCACCGAACTCCTCGCTGAACTCCTCACCGAACTCCTCTCTGAGCTCCTCACCGAACTCTTCGCTGAACTCCACATCGCACTCCTTGCCGCAGTCCTCGTTGAACTCCTCGCCGAACTCACGAACTCCTCGCCTCTAACACCGCCATGGATGACATCTACAAAGCTGCGGTGAGTCTCGCTCCCTCCTTGGAGGGATCTCCCTGCTGAGGACTCCCGTGTTGCGCTCAGCGAATGATTTCCTGCATTGATTGATGTCATTATTTACTTATAACCTCATTTATTTATGTATTTATTTATAAAGTTATTTAAGTCATTTTTATAGGTTTTTTTTTAACCCCATCATGACAGGTGACACAGAACGCGCGCCGCTGCTAAACGTCTCACGCCGGCCACACACGCATCGATTTTCAGACGACAATATTTGTGCAAATATTCATCTGACAATTCTCTGTCCGCTCCGCTATCCTCCAATAAGAAGAGATATAAAAGGATCTCAAATGAAAATAAATAAAACGGCGGATCCCATATAATCGCTACACAGCGCACGGAAATATAAATAAAATGACGTCATCGACAGTACGAAACAAATGATCGACGTAACTGTCAACTATTGTCATAGATCGATTAGTCGGCTGCATTACTTGTGTACATGTCAGGAAATACAGCTCAGTAACCGTTCATACATTTCAGTGTATATATATATATATATAAAAAGTAAAATAAATCAATAAAAAAAAAAAAGAAAGAAAAAAAAAAATATATAAATAAAATAAAAACTAAAATAAATTATGCATATTATTAAAATAAAGAATTAAATAAATCATATATATAAATAAAATAAAAAAAATAAATAAATCATATATATAAATAAAATAAAAAAAATAAATAAATCATATATATAAATAAAATAAAAAAAATAAATAAATCATATATATAAATAAAATAAATAAATAAATAATATATATACACAGTATAACCCCTTTATAATAGAGATTATTTGCTGTTTTTGTACTACTTTTTGTTTTTTTTTTAACCCCATCATGACAGGTGACACAAAAAGCGCGCCGCTGCTGCTGCTAAGTGTCTCACACCAGCTACCAGGGGCAGACTGACAACTCATGGGGCCCCCGGGCAATAGGGGATCATGGGGCCCCTGTGTCCTTGCCCAAATTCAAAAAAGCCTATGAAAAAGGTACCAAGGGCATCACATGGGGCCCCCTACTGACCCCGGGCCCTCAGGCAGTGCCCGAGTTTCCAATTCCAGTGCCCAAGTTTCCAAATGGTCAGTCCGCCCCTGCCGGCCACACAGGTATTGATTTTCAGACGAGAATACGTGTGCAAATATTCATATGAAAATTCTCTGTCCGCTCCGCTATCCTCCAATAAGAAGAGATATAAAAGGATCTCAGATGAAAATAAATAAAACGGCGGATCCCATATAATCGCTACACAGCGCTCGGAAATATAAATAAAATGACGTCATCGACGGTACGAAACAAATGATCGACGTAACTGTCAACTATTGTCATAGATCGATTAGTCGGCTGCATTACTTGTCTACATGTCAGGAAATACAGCTCAGTAACTGTTCATACATTTCAGTGTGTCAATATATATATATATAAAGAGAAATCAATAAAAAAAAAAATATATATATATATATAAAGAGAAATCAATAAAAAAAAAAAAATATATATATATAAAGAGAAATCAATAAAAAAAAAATATATATATATATAAAGAGAAATCAATAAAAAAAAAAATATATATATATATAAAGAGAAATCAATAAAAAAAAAATATATATATATATAAAAATAAAATAAAAACTAAAATAAATTATATATATTAATAAAATAAAGAATTAAATAAATCATAAATAAAATAAAAACACATTAAATTAAATAAATCATATATAATCATATATATATATTTTTATATTTTTTATATTGATTTATTTCTCTTTATATATATATTTATATATATATACACACAGTATAACCCCTTTATAGTAGAGATTATTTGCTGTTTTTGTACTATTTTTTGTGTACCCCGTCACGACAGGTGACACAAAAAGCGCGCCGCTGCTGCTAAGTGTCTCACGCCGGCCACACAGGTATCGATTTTCAGACGAGAATATTTGTACAAATATTTGTATGAAAGTTCTTCGTCCGTTTGATGAGCGAACAGATTTTGTTTGAAAATTTTGCTTGCTTTTGAAAACGAATGTCATTTCTGAACAAAAAACCGCCGGAAAATCGGTCGGATCGAGAAAAGTTTTCTGTACTGCTTTATGTCGGCGCTGTGGTTGGAAACAACCGTCGATTTATTAATCGATTAATTTTTATATTGATGACATTTGTAGAGCGCCGATCATTTGCGCAGCGCTATATATACTGTACATTCACATCTCATTATATATTGTAATTACAATGAATGTGTTTAACCCCTCGCCCTCCGGAGGATTCCCCCCTCCCCTCCGGAGGATTCCCCCCCCCTCCCCTCCGGAGGATTCCCCCCCCCCTCCAGAGGATTCCCCCCCCCCTCGCCCTCGCGGAGGATTCCCCCCCCTTGCCCTCCAGAGGATTTCCCCCCCTCCCCTCCAGAGGATTCCCCCCCACCCTCGCCCTCCGGAGGATTTCCCCCCCCCCTCCAGAGGATTCCCCCCCCTCGCCCTCCGGAGGATTCCCCCCCCTCGCCCTCCAGAGGATTTCCCCCCCTCCCCCTCCCCTCCAGGATTCCCCCCCTCGCCCTCCGGAGGATTTCCCCCCCCCCTCCAGAGGATTCCCCCCCCTCGCCCTCCGGAGGATTCCCCCCCCTTCCAGACCAGGCCATTTTTTGTGATACGGCGTTGCGTTACTGACAATTGCGGAGTCATGCAACGTTGCACCCAAATGACATTTATGCGCTTTTTTAATGTGTACTTACTCCCCCACCACCACCACAACACCCCTCCCCCCCCCCTGGCCCATTCTGCTGCCACTAAAATTGAGTGCCCCCCACTACCATCAACACCCCCCCAGCCCCCAGTGCTGCTAATGAAATTGGGCACCCCCACCACCGCTAGCGCCCCAAGCCCCTGCTGCTGCCGCTAAAGTTGGACACCCACCACCAGCACCCCCTCAGCCCCACTAAAAATGGGCTCCCCACCACCACCAACATATCCCCCCAGCCCCTGCCACTAAAACTGGGTGCCCCTACAACCTACACCCTGCCTCCACAAAAATTGGGTGCCCACAGCCACCACCAGCACCCGCCCTGGCCCCTCCAGCCCCACTAAAAATGGGCACCCCACCACCACCACCAACACATCCCCCAGCCCCCACCACTAAAATTGGGCGTCCCCACCACCTGCACCCCACCCCCACAAAAATTGTGCACTCTCAGTCACTACCAGCACCCCCCTCTTGCCCCAGCCACCGCCACTAAAATTGGGCGCCCCACACCACCAACAGCACCCCCCCAGACCCCTGCTGCTGCCAATAAAACTGGGCTCCCACCACCAACACATCCCCCCCAGCCCCTGCCATTTAAACTGGGCACCCCTACCACCTACACCCTGCCACCACAAAAATTGGGTGCCCACCAGGGGCGGACTGACCATTTGGAAACTCGGGCACTGCCAGAGGGCCCGGGGTCAGTAGGGGGCCCCATGAGATGCCCCTGGTACCTTTTTCATAGGCTTTTTTGATTTTGGGCAAGGACACAGGGGCCCCATGATCCCCTATTGCCCGGGGGTCCCATGAGTTGTCAGTCCGACCCTGTTGCCCACAGCCACTAACAGCACCTTCCCCCATGGCCCTTGCCCCCCCCACTAAAATTGGGTGCCCCCCTGGCCCCCACTGCTGCTACTAAAATTGGTCACCCCCCACCACCCCCAGCTCCCCAGGCCCCTGCCGCTCTCCTGTATTCCTATACTCACTGCTTCTGGCCTCTTAATACAGGAGAGCTGCTCTGACAGGAAGGAGAAGAGGAGAGAGAACACAACCTGCACCTCCTCCCTGCTCTCTCCTGGACGTTACCAGCGCTGGGCTGCTGACAGGAGTACTGATACCGCCGTCACTACTCCTGTCAGCCTTGTATCAGGATGAGCTCACCACATGGTGCCCCCATCCCTACATTAAACTGCTGCTCCCCTCCTGCCCACCCCTTGTACCAGGCAGGCCGGCTTACTATCCCTTGAAGTGATGGAAAAATGGCGTTCACACTCCTTGTACTAGATACCACATAAGGGAACGGAGCTCTCCGTGACAGTGCTGCAGGAAGAGGCTATTTAAAGGCCAACATCACCCAACAGGAACAATTCATTTCCAGGTGGAGTTTAGGGTAGTAACACAAGTAGCCCGGTTTTACTAACTTTTGGGGTTCCGGTGGACAATTCCAACAGCTGGCGGTCCAGGGCAATGCTGGCGGTCCAGGGCAACCCTTCCATTACAGTCACCATGGGGAATTTGTGGGTGGGGCTTGACCATATCTTTGAACACACCCCCAATGATATTTCTGTAGCCCTGCATTATTCTGTGTTCCATACATCTCCAGAAATGGGGCGCCAATGTGTCTTCATGAAGCTTCTACCATCCGGCAATGGGGCGCCAATGTGTCTTCACGAAGCTTCTACCATCCGGCAATGGGGCGCCAATGTGTCTTCACGAAGCTTCTACTATCCGGCAATGGGGCGCCAATGTGTCTTCACGAAGCTTCTACCATCCGGCAATGGGGCGCCAATGTGTCTTCACGAAGCTTCTACTATCCGGCAATGGGGCGCCAATGTGTCTTCACGAAGCTTCTACCATCCGGCAATGGGGCGCCAATGTGTCTTCACGAAGCTTCTACCATCCAGCAATGGGGCGCCAATGTGTCTTCACGAAGCTTCTACCATCCGGCCATGGGGAGCCAATGTGTGTCTTCATGAAGCTTCTACCATCCGGCAATGGGGCGCCAATGTGTCTTCTCAAAGCTTCTACCATCCGGCCATGGGGCGCCAATGTGTCTTCACGAAGCTTCTACCACCCGGCAATGGGACGCCAATGTGTCTTCACGAAGCTTCTACCATCCGGCCATGGGGCGCCAATGTGTCTTCACGAAGCTTCTACCACCAGGCAATGGGACGCCAATGTGTCTTCACGAAGCTTCTACCACCCGGCAATGGGGCGCCAATGTGTCTTCATGAAGCTTCTACCATCCGGCATGGGGCGCCAAAGTGTCTTCAGGAAGCTTCTACCACCCGGCAATGGGGCGCCAATGTGTCTTCACGAAGCTTCTACCATCCGGCAATGGGGCGCCAATGTGTCTTCACGAAGCTTCTACCATCCGGCAATGGGGCGCCAATGTGTCTTCACGAAGCTTCTACCATCCGGCAATGGGGAGCCAATGTGTCTTCAGGAAGCTTCTACCACCCGGCAATGGGGCGCCAATGTGTCTTCACGAAGCTTCTACCATCCAGAAATCGGGCGCCAATGTGTCTTCACGAAGCTTCTACCATCCGGAAATCGGGCGCCAATGTGGAACAAAGATGGACAACTAGTGTGCGAGGATCCAAGAGATATCAGTCGATGGACGGGCCCAGCAAGGGACGACCTCATGTTTTATCACCTCCAATATGTGAACGATTCCTCCACGAGCATTCACCAGGCCGAGCATTGTGGGGGGTGGAGGCATTGTCTGGGCTCCTATATATAGAATCCGACCAATGGAACAATGGCTTATCCTCCACCTGTCCCATCATACAACCGCGCCATCCACAGATCAGCCGGATTAACATAGTTCACAGGCTTCGGATTATTTCTTGGTGGTCCCATTCCAGAACTGACGGCTGATGTGTGACCTTCATTGGACTGTCTGCCATCGTCCTTCCTCCCCGCCATCCTCCCATCATTACATCTCTTCTCTTTATATCTCTCTGTCCCCCCTCCCCCCCCCAACCCTCCATCTCACTCAACTGACCCGCTCTCCTTTCCCTCTCGCCCCTCTCTTTCTATGTCTCATCTTTCTCTTTTATTTTGCTCTCTTCTTTTCTCTCTGCCCCCTTCCTCCCCCTCTCATTTCTCTCCCTCACTCTTCCTATTTATCCTGTCTTCTTTCCTTCCTCTTTTCTCTCCTCCCCTCCCCTCCTCTCCTCTCCTCCCCTCTCCTGTCCTCTCTTTTCTCCTCTCCTGCCCTCTCCTCTCTTTCTCCTCTCCTCTCCTCTTCTCACCACTTCTGTCTTCCTCCTCTCCTCTCCTCACATCTCCTCTCTTGTCCTCTCTTTTCTCCTCTGCTCACCACTCCTCTCTTCCACCTCTCCTCTCATCATCTCTCCTCTCCTTTCATCACCTCTCCTCTCCTCACCTCTCCTCCTCCTCTCCTCACCTTTCCTCTCCTCTCTTCATCCTCTCCCATCCTCACCACTCCTCTCTTCACCTCTCCTTCCCATCCTCTTTTCTCCTCTCTTTGTCTTCTCTTATTTATTATTTCAGGTACTTATATAGCGCCATCAATTTACGCAGCACTTCACATATATATTGTACATTCACATCAGTCCCCGCCCCCGAGGAGCGTACAATCCAAAGTCCCGAACTCACATTCACACATTAGGGCCAGTTTGTTTAGACAGGAGCCAATTAACAACATGTGTTTTTGGAGTGTGGGAGGAAACAGGAATACACGGAGGAAACCCACACAGGCACAGGGAGAACATGCAAACTCCAGGCAGGTGGTGCCATGGTTGGGATTTGAACCAACTACCCTAGTCTGATCTCCTCTCATTCTCTCCTCTCCTCTTCTCTTCTCCCTCTCCCTCTCCCCCTCCCGCTCTCTCCTCCTTTCTCCCCTCTTTCTTTCTCTCTCCCTCTCCCCCCTCCCCCTCTCTTTACCCCCCTCCCCCAACTTGTCATAACACGAAGGGATAACTCTCTCCCTCTCTCTCTCTCCCCTCCCCCCTCTTTCTCTCTCCCTCTCTCTCCCCCCCTCTCCCTCTTTTCCCCCTCCCCCTCCCTCTCTCTTCCCCCCCTTCCCCAACCTGTCATCACATGAAGGGATAACTCTCTCCCTCCATCTCTCCCTTTCCCTATACCCCCCCCCCCTTCTCTCTCTCTTCTCTCTCCCCCCCCCCATTTTCCCCCTTTTTCCCCTCTTTCTCCCTTTGGTATATCAGGTACAGATTTCTGTCAGTAACGTGGCCCCCATGTCTGATGTGGCCCTTAGTACACAGGTACAGATTTCTCGCATGGCCCCCATGTCTGATGTGGCCCTTAGTACACCAGGTACAGATTTCTCACAGGGCCCCCATGTCTGATGTGGCCCTTAGTACACCAGGTACAGATTTCTTGCGGGCCCCCAGGGTGGCCCTTAGTACACCAGATACAGATTTCTCGCAGGGCCCCCATGTCTACATAAGGCAATCCCATCAGCGCCAGGTCTATATATAATCCCAGCCTGGCGGCTTCTATCACAGAGCTGATATCGGTGGCAGAGACCAGAGCGCAGTACAGAGATAAGAGGAGGAAGGTGACATGCCATCGCCGTTATCAGTCCTGACCCTCTCCGGGGCCCAGGAATAGAAGGCAGCCACCGGGGCTGATCCCTCTCCGGGGCCCAGGAATAGAAGGTGGTCGCCGGGGCTGATCCCTCTCCGGGGCCCAGGAACAGAAGGCAGCCACCGGGGCTGATCCCTCTCCGGGGCCCAGGAACAGAAGGCAGCCACCGGGGCTGATCCCTCTCCGGGGCCCCAGGAATAGAAGGCAGCCACCGGGGCTGATCCCTCTCCGGGGCCCAGGAACAGAAGGCAGCCACCGGGGCTGATCCCTCTCCGGGGCCCAGGAATAGAAGGCGGTCCCCGGGGCTGATCCCTCTCCGGGGCCCAGAAATAGAAGGCGGTCCCCGGGGCTGATCCCTCTCCGGGGCCCAGGAATAGAAGGCAGCCACCGGGGCTGATCCCTCTCCGGGGCCCAGGAACAGAAGGCAGCCACCGGGGCTGATCCCTCTCCGGGGCCCAGGAATAGAAGGTGGTCGCCGGGGCTGATCCCTCTCCGGGGCCCAGGAATAGAAGGCGGCCGCCGGGGATTAGCGTGTTTGGTCTCTGCGTATTAATGGTGGACAAACATATCCTGAATTCACGGCAGAGCGCTGACCCTCCCGGCATGCCGGGCTTGGCATGACAATGGATGGGGCACAGCTGTGCGGATTAGACATGGGCAACACGGACGGGTCACGTTTCACATTGTTAGCGCTCTCCTGTCCCGTCACCGTCTAAATATATTAATAATTATATTTATTGCCTCCCCCCTCCCCCCTCCATGACGTTTTTTTAAATAAATCCTTTCCATTTTCATGACATACCTAATTTTATTTCTGGTGATGTCATCACTGAGTCTCTGTGATTCTCTATGCAATGCAAGCAGATCGTGGCTGGTGCAGGGGCGGACTGACAACTCATGTTGCCCCCGGGCAATAGGGGATCATGGGGCCCCTGTGTCCTTGCCCACACTCAAAGCACACCCAAAAAAGCCTATAAAAGGTACCAGGGGCATTTCATAGGGCCCCCTACTGACCCTGGGCCCTCGGGCAGTGCCCGAGTTCTCGAATGGTCAGTCTGCCCCTGGGCTGATGGGAGGGGCAGGCAGGGTGCTGCAGTTTAAATCTGCTTATATTTTGCCTTTGCCGCCCCCCCCCCCCCCCCCCCCGATGACCTTTTTAATTAAATCCTTTCCATTTTCATTACCTATTTTATTCTATTTCCAGTGATGTCATCACTGGGTCTCTGTGCTTCTCTATGCAATGCAGGGCGATCATGGCTGATGGGAGGGGCAGGCAGGGTGCTCCCCTCAGTCCCGATGGAGGAGTTGTGGAGTTGGGGGGGGGGGGGAGCAACCTGACTCTACGATATTTTCTGAGTCCTATTTTGTCTTTTGCAGGTTGAACAACTGACGGATGAACAGAAAAACGGTGAGTGTCTCTTCAGATACAAAGCCCCGTTAGCCAATGGGAAAGCCGCGTTACCAATTTCCCCGACCAATCACGTCGTGTTTCTGTCTAACGCCCATTTGTGGAAATCTGTAGATATAGTTTGTATAAATCTCCTTCTGAACGATTTTGTAAGTCGATCTTCTCCTCTTAACCCCTCCCCCCCCCTCCCCGGGTCTTTATTTCCCAGAATTCAGAGCAGCTTTCGACATTTTCGTACAAGATGCGGAGGACGGCTGCATCAGCACCAAGGAGCTGGGGAAAGTCATGAGGATGCTGGGCCAGAACCCCACCCCCGAGGAGCTGCAGGAGATGATCGACGAGGTGGATGAGGATGGTCAGTGCTTCTCTGTCTCCCTTCCCTTGTCACATCTTTCTTCATCCCGCTCCTCTGTCCTCAGGGCCACTTCTCACCATATGCGGATACCCCTCCCCCCTCATCAATATAGCCCTGGTTCCTCCCCTCCCCCCTCTCATCAGTATACTCCTGGTTCCTCCCCTCCTCCCTCATCAGTATATCCCTGGTTCCTCCCCTCCCCCTCATCAGTATATCCCTGGTTCCTCCCCTCCCCCTCATCAATATAGCCCTGGTCCCTCCCCTCCTCCCTCATCAGTATACTCCTGGTTCCTCCCCTCCCCCCTCATCAGTATACTCCTGGTTCCTCCCCCTCCCCCTCATCAGTATATCCCTGGTTCCTCCCCTCCCCCTCATCAGTATATCCCTGGTTCCTCCCCTCCCCCTCATCAGTATATCCCTGGTTCCTCCCCCCCCCCCCCCTCATCAGTATACTCCTGGTTCCTCCCCTCCCCCTCATCAGTATATCCCTGGTTCCTCCCCTCCCCCCTCATCAGTATATCCCTGGTTCCTCCCCTCCCCCTCATCAGTATATCCCTGGTTCCTCCCCCCCCCCCCTCATCAGTATATCCCTGGTTCCTCCCCTCCCCCTCATCAGTATATCCCTGGTTCCTCCCCTCCCCCCTCATCAGTATATCCCTGGTTCCTCCCCTCCCCCCTCATCAGTATATCCCTGGTTCCTCCCCTCCCCCTCATCAGTATATCCCTGGTTCCTCCCCTCCCCCTCATCAGTATATCCCTTGTTCCTCCCCTCCCCCCTCATCAGTATATCCCTGGTTCCTCCCCTCCCCCCTCATCAGTATATCCCTGGTTCCTCCCCTCCCCCCTCATCAGTATATCCCTGGTACCTCCCTTCCCCCCTCATCAGTATATCCCTGGTACCTCCCTTCCCCCTCATCAGTATATCCCTGGTTCCTCCCCTCCCCCCTCATCAGTATATCCCTGGTACCTCCCTTCCCCCTCATCAGTATATCCCTGGTTCCTCCCCTCCCCCCTCATCAGTATATCCCTGGTTCCTCCCCTCCCCCCTCATCAGTATATCCCTGGTACCTCCCTTCCCCCTCATCAGTATATCCCTGGTTCCTCCCCTCCCCCCTCATCAGTATACTCCTGGTTCCTCCCCTCCCCCTCATCAATATAGCCCTGGTCCCTCCCCTCCTCCCTCATCAGTATACTCCTGGTTCCTCCCCTCCCCCTCATCAGTATATCCCTGGTTCCTCCCCTCCCCCTCATCAATATAGCCCTGGTCCCTCCCCTCCTCCCTCATCAGTATACTCCTGGTTCCTCCCCTCCCCCTCATCAGTATATCCCTGGTTCCTCCCCCTCCCCCCTCATCAGTATACTCCTGGTTCCTCCCCTCCCCCTCATCAGTATATCCCTGGTTCCTCCCCTCCCCCCTCATCAGTATAGCCCTGGTTCCTCCCCTCCCCCTCATCAGTATATCCCTGGTTCCTCCCCTCCCCCCTCATCAGTATATCCCTGGTACCTCCCTTCCCCCTCATCAGTATATCCCTTGTTCCTCCCCTCCCCCCTCATCAGTATATCCCTGGTACCTCCCTTCCCCCTCATCAGTATATCCCTGGTTCCTCCCCCCCCCCTCATCAGTATATCCCTGGTTCCTCCCCTCCCCCCTCATCAGTATATCCCTGGTACCTCCCTTCCCCCCTCATCAGTATATCCCTGGTACCTCCCTTCCCCCTCATCAGTATATCCCTGGTTCCTCCCCTCCCCCCTCATCAGTATATCCCTGGTACCTCCCTTCCCCCTCATCAGTATATCCCTGGTTCCTCCCCTCCCCCCCTCATCAGTATATCCCTGGTTCCTCCCCTCCCCCCTCATCAGTATATCCCTGGTACCTCCCTTCCCCCTCATCAGTATATCCCTGGTTCCTCCCCTCCCCCCTCATCAGTATACTCCTGGTTCCTCCCCCCCCTCCCCCTCATCAGTATATCCCTGGTTCCTCCCCTCCCCCCTCATCAGTATACTCCTGGTTCCTCCCCCCCCCTCATCAGTATATCCCTGGTTCCTCCCCTCCCCCTCATCAGTATATCCCTGGTTCCTCCCCTCCCCCCTCATCAGTATATCCCTGGTTCCTCCCCCCTCCCCCTCATCAGTATATCCCTGGTTCCTCCCCTCCCCCCTCATCAGTATATCCCTGGTTCCTCCCCCCCCCCCCTCATCAGTATATCCCTGGTTCCTCCCCTCCCCCTCATCAGTATATCCCTGGTTCCTCCCCTCCCCCTCATCAGTATATCCCTGGTTCCTCCCCTCCCCCTCATCAGTATATCCCTGGTTCCTCCCCTCCCCCCTCATCAGTATATCCCTGGTTCCTCCCCTCCCCCCTCATCAGTATATCCCTGGTTCCTCCCCTCCCCCTCATCAGTATATCCCTGGTTCCTCCCCTCCCCCCTCATCAGTATATCCCTGGTACCTCCCTTCCCCCTCATCAGTATATCCCTTGTTCCTCCCCTCCCCCCTCATCAGTATATCCCTGGTTCCTCCCCTCCCCCCTCATCAGTATATCCCTGGTACCTCCCTTCCCCCTCATCAGTATATCCCTGGTTCCTCCCCTCCCCCCTCATCAGTATATCCCTGGTTCCTCCCCTCCCCCCTCATCAGTATATCCCTGGTACCTCCCCCTTCCCCCTCATCAGTATATCCCTTGTTCCTCCCCTCCCCCCTCATCAGTATGGTCTTGGTTCCTCCCCCTCCCCCCTCATCAGTATATCCCTGGTTCCTCCCCTCCCTCCTCATCAATATATCCCTGGTTCCTCCCCCCTAATGTCACACGAACGGTCGATGTTTGAGTCGAACTGTTTGATTGGCACATCAAGGCCATCACTATTGGATGTTTTATATCAGAAAGTAGAAAATAGCATTTGTTTGGCAAAGAAAAAGCTCTCTTTGTGTGAAAAAAATGATATAGATGTCATGTGGGTACAAAGGTGAAAGTAGTGCAGTGCTGAACAGCAAAACATGGTCATGAAAGGGGGGGAGGGCAACCTCCCGGAGCCGAGGAGGTTTGGTTGGGAATATTGGTGTTACTAGTTGTTTCTGAAGACGTTGAGTCCAGCTTGCTGATGTCATTTCCTACCGCCTTCTTATACTTGTCCTTCCCTCCGGCGCAGGGAGCGGCACGGTAGACTTCGATGAGTTCCTGGTGATGATGGTGCGATGTATGAAGGACGACAGTAAAGGGAAATCAGAGGAAGAATTGTCCGATCTCTTCCGGATGTTTGACAAGTGAGTGGTGGAGGCCGGGGACAAGGGGTGGGCAGGAGGGGCAGCTGCCCTGGGCACAAGGGGGGTGGGGGGGTATGATGAGTAGATTGGGGGGAGGGGATTTCTGCTGGAAGTGGGATTTGAGGGTTGGTGGGGGGAGTGGTGATTTGGGGGGATTTGTATTGGGGGGGATGGGGGAAGAGTATTTGTGCTAGGAGAGAGGATTTTGGTGGGCTTGTTCTAGAAAACATAATATGGTAGAGGGGGGAGTTGTGATTTAGGGGGATTTGTGTTGGGAGGGGGGGATGGAGGAAGAGTATTTGTGCTAGGAGGGGGATTTGGGGGGGCTTGTTCTAGAAACTAGAAAAAATAATATGGTAGAGGGGGGAGTGGTGATTTGGGGGGCCTTGTGTTGGGAGGGGGGTATGGGGGAAGATGATTTGTTCTAGGAGGGGGATTTGGGGGGGCTTGTTCTAGAAAAAATAAGGTGGGGGAAGGGTGAGTGGTCATTTGGGGTTTTTGTATTGGGAGGGGGGGGTGGGGGAAGAGGATTTTTGCTAGGAGGGGGATTTTGGGGGCTTGTTCTAGAAAAAATAATATGGTGAGGGGAGGGGGAGTGGTGATTTGGTGGGATTTATGTTGGGAGGGGGGAATGGGAGAAGAGGATTTGTGCTAGGAGGGAAATTGCGGGGGGGGGGGGGGCTTGTTCTAGAAAAAGTAATATGGTGGGGGGAGGGGGGGAGTAGTGATTTGGGAAGATTTGTATTGGGGGGGGGGGGAGAGGGTTTGTGCTAGGAGGGGTATTTGGGGGGGGGCTTGTTCTAGAAAAAAAGTGTCAAGGTACATGAAAATAAATGAACTGCATGGTGGAGTTGCCAGAAAGAAGCATAAAAGCCCGGTGAGGTGTACTTGAACAAAAATTAGCTGCATGGTCGAGTTGCCAGAAAGAAGCCTTTAGCGTGCCAATGCCACAAAAAAGCCCGGTGAGGTGTGTCAAGCTACATGAACAAATATGAACTGTATGGTGGAGTTGCCAGAAAGAAGCCACAAAATAAGCCCGGTTACAATACGTCTGACAACACCTTGACACGCCTCACCCGGGCTTTTTTGTGGCATTGGTGCAGTAAAGGCTTTTTTCTAGCAACTCGGCCATGCAGCTCATTTTTGTTTAAATATCACCGTATTGTGCTCCTTGAAACACCCACACCGTCTTTTCCCAGAGCAGCCTGGACTTCTCCTGAGGGGACCTGTGGGGGGGGGGAGTCTTTGTATCTTTTCAGTTTCTTTGTTGCCCAGACTGCTGTGTGTGGTGACAGAGCAGATATAAGAGGGGCCCAGGGGCAGGACTGACTATTTGGAAACTCGGGCACTGCCCGAGGGCCCGGGGTCAGTAGGGGGCCCCACAAGATGCCCCTGGTACCTTTTTCATAGGCTTTTTTGAGTTTGGGCAAGGACACAGGGGCCCCATGATCCCCTATTGCCCCGGGGCCCCATGAGTTGTCAGTCCGCCCCTGGAGGGGCCCCATATACACGTAGACATGAAGTCGATGGTGTTCTAGAAGTCGATGATCTTTTCTCCGTTTGGCAGGAATGCGGACGGATACATCGACCTGGACGAGCTGAAGACGATGCTGCAAGCCACGGGGGAAACCATCACCGAGGACGACATCGAGGAGCTGATGAGAGACGGCGACAAAAACAACGACGGCAGAATCGATTACGATGGTAATTTGTGTTCGTTCAGCCAATCGTTCGTCATCTGGAAACATTTGAGCGGGAATAAACCCGAAACCCGAAACAGCGCACATTCCATCTTACCCATCCTTCGATGTGGCGGCTGCATTCGTTTTCCTTCTGTTTTCACCCGGTATCCGGCCATTAACACCCCCCCAGATTTACAGTGCCCCCCACTCTGGAGGAAGATGCACAGGGGGCACCTTTGGGCAGCAGCATTGTCAGGGTGGGGGAGGAGAGTATTCGATGGACTAGCAGATTTAGATACACTAACACATTAAAGCCAAACTCAGTCACCTGATCGTTTCTATAGGGGGCAGAAGGGGGGACCCCCCACTGGGGCCCACCCCCTTTACCAGGCTCTCCTGACCAATGGGGGAACCTCCTGTGTGACTGTCTCTGGCCCCCGCCCCTTTCATTCATTGGGTTAAATTTCTTCTAATCATGGAGGCTCAGCATCACATGTGGGCGTTGCCTATGCAAATACAGCCTTCCTCGGAATGCCCACTACTCCAGACTGACAACCACCCATAAAGACAATTTTGTTATTTGCATAACTCCTCCCACTACTTTTGCATCACTTAATGTTGCATGTGGGCGTTACCTATGCAAATAAAGCCTGTGTAGGAACGCCCACTCCTCCAGACTGACACCAACCCATCAAGATATTTTATATGCATAACTCCTCCCACTATATTTGCATAACTCAGCATCACATGTGGGCGTTACCCATGCAAATAAAACCTGCCTCCGAACGCCCACTCTTCCAGACTGACACCCACCCATGAAGACATTTCGATATTTGCATAACTCCTCCCACTACTTTTGCATAACTCAGCGTTGCATGTGGCGTTACCTATGCAAATACAGTCTGCCTAGGAACGCCCACTCCTCCAGGCTGACACCTACTTATCAAGACATTTTATTTGCATAGCTCCTCCCATTATTTTACACAACTCAGTGTCACATGTAGGCGTTACTTATGCAAATACAGCCTGCCTAGGAACGCCTACTAATCCAGACTGACTCCCACCCCCCATCAAGACATTTTGTTATTTGCATAACTCCTCCCATTACTTGCATCAGGACTGAGGCAGGGGGCTGTGATGTTTTCAGGAAGCTATGTACAGCCCCCTGCCGGCCCCTCCCACCAGCCATGATCTGCCTGCATTGCATAGATAAGCATAGAGACCCAGTGATGACATCACTGGATATAGAATAAGGAAAGACTGTATTGAAAATTATAATTTGCATATTCATGAGGGGGGAGGGGATTCAGGGTAGGAAAAATACAGAATAAACTTCAGCCGTGACTCTTTCTGTGAAACGTTGGGGGCGGAGTCAGGATTTCCACTTTTTTTTTTTTTTTACTCGATGCATTTTCCTGGATGGAAAATTGTCTTTCTGTACGCTGAAAGCCCATTGGGTAAATCATAAACATCCTAAGTGGTGGGACAAGATCATTCCCCCCCCCCCTTTTTTTTAAAAAAAAAAAAAATTCAAATAATTTTTAAAAATGTTTTATTTTTCTGTTTTCACAGAATTCTTGGAGTTCATGAAGGGAGTGGAATAGAACGAATCGCCGGAAATCAACCAAAAACTGAATTCTGCAGAACCTGATTTGAATGATCTAAAACCCATGAAGATTCCCCCCCAACCCCCCCCCCCCCCCCAAAAAAAAAACAAAAAAAAACTCAACTGCCCCTTGTGACCCCTCCCCCAACTCCTGTGAATGTCCCTGTAATATTTTGATGTTGCAATAAAGATATTTAGTATTGATTGTCACTCCGGGTCACACCCCTGCGGAGCTGTCCGGCTCCTTTGCACGGATTGGTTTAGGAATAATATGTTTAAAATCTTTTTTTTACGAAACCATTTTTGTGACGCCGGAGCGCGCCGGACCTTAGGCGGAGGCGTTTTAACGCGATGGGTGGTCCTCACCAGCAACTGTGGGCTCTTGCTGGACCCTCCCCCAGAGAAGTTTGTGGAAGTTTGGAAAGGATGGGAGCGCCACACCAGCTTGTACAGACATAGGAGTGCGCAGGGGGTGTGCCTGAGCGCACCCTAATCTCCCCGTGCGCATGAGCGCTATCACTCTGTGTGCCGGCCGGGAGATCGTCTCCCACTGACCGACTCTGCCATAAAAGGTATATAGAGTATATATATACATACACACGCATACATATATATATATATACATACACACGCATACATATATATATACATACACACGCATACATATATATATATACATACACACGCATACATATATATATATACATACACACGCATACATATATATATACATATACATACACACGCATACATATATATATATACATACACACGCATACATATATATATACATACACACGCATACATATATATATATACATACACACGCATACATATATATATATACATACACACGCATATACATATATATATATACATACACACGCATACATATATATATATACATACACACGCATACATATATATATATATATATACACACGCATACATATATATATATATACATACACACGCATACATATATATATATATACATACACACGCATACATATATACAGTTGCAAGAAAAAGTATGTGAACCCCTTGGGATTACGTGGAGTTTTTGCATGAATTGGGCATAAAATGTGCTCTGAACGTCATCTAAGTCACAACAATAGAAGAACACAGTCTGCTGAACATAATACTACACAAACATTAGATGTTGCCATGGTTTAATTGCACATAACATGTAAACATTCACAGTGCAGGGAGGAAAAAGTATGTGAGGCCCTAGCTTAATGACTTCTCCCAGAGCTGATTGGAGCCCAGGAGTGAGCCAACCTTGACTCCAATCAGTGTGATGATATTGGATGTGTTGCTGACACCTGTTTTGGGTTTACTGGTTTCAAGAAGCACTGTCTGATGTGAACCATGCCTCGCAGAAAAGAGCTCTCAGAAGACCTATGATCAAAATTGTTGACTTGCATGAAGCTGGAAAGGGTTACAAAAGTATCTCCTTGAGCCTTGATGTTCATGTGTCCACGGTAAGACAGACTGTCTACAAATGGAGAAAGTTTAGCACTGTTGCTACTCTCCCTAGGCGTTGTCGTCCTGTAAAAATGACTGCAAGAGCCCAGCGCAGAATGCTGCATGAGGTAAAGAAGAATCCCAGAGTGTCAGCTAAAGACCTACAGAAATCTCTGGCACATGCTAACATTTTTGTTGACACATCTACAACAAGGAAAACATGAAACAAGAATGGAGTACATGGGAGGACACCACGGAGGAAGCCATTGCTGTCCAAAAAGAAGATTGCAGCACGTCTGAAGTTTGCAAAAGAGCACCTGGATGTTCCACAGCACTACTGGCAGAAATATACTGTGGACAGATGAAACCAAGATTGAGGTGTTTGGGAAGAACACACAACACTATGTGTGGAGAAAAAAAGGGCACAGCACACCAACATCAAAAACCTCATCCCCACTGTGAAAAACATGGCGGAGGGAGCATCATGGTTTGGGGCTGCTTTGCTGCCTCAGGGCCTGGACGGATTGTTGTCATTGATGGAAAATGAATTCCAGAGTTTATCAAGACATTTTGCAGGAAAACGTACGACCATCTGTCCGCCAACTGAAGCTCCGCAGAGGATGGGTGATGCAACAGGACAATGATGACCCAAAGCATACAAGTCATTCAACAAAACAATGGCTGCAACAGCACAGAATAAGCCTTCTGGAGTGGCCCAGTCAGAGTCCTGACCTCAACCCCATTGAAATGCTGTGGCATGACCTTAAGAGAGCGATTCACACCAGACATCCCAAGAATATTGCTACACTGAAACAGTTTTGTGAAGAGGAGTGGTCCAAAATGACTCCAGATGGTTGTGCAGGTCTGATCTGCAACTACAGGAAACGTTTGGTTGAGGTTATTGCTGCCAAAGGAGGGTCAACCAGTTATTAAGTCCAAAGGTTCACATACTTTTTCCTCCCTGCACTGTGAATGTTTACATGTTTATGTGCAATTAAACCATGGCAACATCTAATGTTTGTGTAGTATTATGTTCAGCAGACTGTGTTCTTTCTATTGTTGTGATTTAGATGACGTTCAGAGCACATTTTATGCCCAATTCATACAAAAAACTCCACGTAATCCCAAGGGGTTCACATACTTTTTCTTGCAACTGTATATATACATACACACGCATACATATATATATATACATACACACGCATACATATATATATACATATATAATATACACGCACACGCATACATATATATATATACATACACACGCATACATATATATATATACATACATACATACACACGCATACATATATATATATACATACACACACGCATGTGTGGTTCAGCTTCGGGGTGCACACTTATGTGTACAGACTTTTGATTTTTGGAACAGCCAACGCAGTTGATCGCACAATTGTCATTCAAATTGCGACAGCGCTGAAAGCTGAAAATTGGCCTGGGGACAGGAAGGGGGGATGATGCCCGGTAGGCGAGGGGTTAAATATCATGCCTGGGGGGGGATTCCCCTTAAGCCACCTGCAAAGTTGCACATCTGTACAATGTATAGAACGGGCTGCAGCAGGACTGACATAAAAAAAAAAAAAACAGCGTAGGGACCCCCCCTCCCCCAATCCATTCCCTTTAGTTCTGGTTAGGAGGGACCCCACATTAACAGTGCATGGAGTTACCCTCTAAAAAAGCCGTACCGGGCCCTTTAGGTCTGATAGGACTTTTAAGGGGAACCCCACCCCAAAAAAACAAGGGAAAAAAAGCATGGGGTCCCCCCTAAAATTCCCACCAGACCCTTGATCCGAGCACAGGCCTGGCAGGCCAGTAAAGGGAAGGGGACGACGACACGCCCCCCCCCCCTCCAGAACCGTATCAGGCCACATGCCCTCAACATGGGGGGTGCTTTGGGGTAGAGGGTACCCCCACAAAGCCCATTGTCCCCAAGTTGATGGGGACAAGGGCCTCTTCCCCAACCCCCTGGGCTGTGGTTGTTGGGGTCTGCGGGGGGGGGGGGGTGACTTATCGGAATCTGGAAGCCACCATCAACGTGGGGGTCCCAGATCCCAGCCCCCCCACCTTGTAAATGAATATGCGGTACATAGTACCCCTAACCATTCACCAAAAAAGTGTAAAATGTAAATAAAAACACAACAGTTTTTGATAAGTCCTTTATTTAAAAAAAAAAAAAGGTTCCATTGTTGTAATCCATTGTCAATCACGGCGTCCAGTGTTGTCATGACGACGCTGACTCGCCCTAATAATACCCGAAGCCAGCCGACCCGTCCGCACTCGCCACTATCTGACATTTGTGAGTCAGATGTAAACAATTGGGCGGAGTTAGAGGTGATGTCACCGTTAGCTCTGCCCAATTGTGATGTGATTGGCCAAAGCCTTGCACCCTGACCTGTGGTCAGGTACATTGCTTTGGCCAATCACAGAGCGCAGTACATTGTGGGAAAACAGCCCGCTGAGCGGCCTTACCAGTCGCGTGTTCGCTGAATTCGAGTCGAACGTAAGTAAATTTCAAGCCCATCACTACAAATGAATTTCTAATTGTTGAACTGACTCCTGGCTGAGGAGAACTGTAACCAGTCTTATGAGCAATACTGAAGGAAAAAGATGGCGGAATAATTGAGTCCATGAAGGCACCATTGGACGGTCAGATGAGTTCTTTTTATACTTTCTAATCCGAATGTTTGAATGAAATTCTACAGATGAAAGACCAGCTTTAGCCTCTTCTTCAGGCAGAGTGATGAGGAGCAATCAATTGGTTCAATATTCTGACCCCTGAAAATTCGAATCTATACTATATTGCCCCAAGTATTGGACTGCCGGCCTTTCCACACACATGACCTTTAATGGCCTCCCAGTCTTAGCCCGTAGGGTTCAATATTGAGTTGGCCCCGCCCTTTCCACGCACATGACCTTTAATGGCCCCCCAGTCTTAGCCCGTAGGTTTCAATATTGAGTTGGCCCCGCCCATTCCACGCACATGACCTTTAATGGCCCCGCCCCACAGTTTAGCCCCCCAGCAGGGTTCAATATTGAGTTGGCCCCGCCCTTTCCACGCACATGACCTTTAATGGCCCCCCAGTCTTAGCCCGCAGGGTTCAATATTGAGTTGGCCCCGCCCTTTCCACGCACATGACCTTTAATGGCCCCCCAGTCTTAGCCCGTAGGGTTCAATATTGAGTTGGCCCCGCCCTTTCCACGCACATGACCTTTAATGGCCCCCCAGTCTTAGCCCGTAGGGTTCAATATTGAGTTGGCCCCGCCCTTTCCACGCACATGACCTTTAATGGCCCCCCAGTCTTAGCCCGTAGGTTTCAATATTGAGTTGGCCCCGCCCTTTCCACGCACATGACCTTTAATGGCCCCCCAGTCTTAGCCCGTAGGGTTCAATATTGAGTTGGCCCTCCAGCTGTTGAAGTACTACAAGTCACATCGTGCCTCTGCCTCTGGGTGTCTTGCCTGTGGCTGTCAGAGTCTTGCAAGGCCTCATGGGACACCTGAATCACA